AAAAGGATTATGAGCTGTGAAAATACTCATTTAAGAAGTTCAGAATCTTCTATAAAAGTGGCTGAAATTGAGTTATATTGCGGCAGTGCTTTTTCAGGGAGGAGATTATCTCACATCTCCTCACTTGCTCGTTCACAGGATCCCAAACCAGCAGGTCTGGTGTGCACAGAATACCTGCTGAACTCGACAGTGCAGTTGGGGTACAAGTCCAATTTAGCGAGCACTGAGCTTGGTGACACCCCAGTAAGTTGAGGTTCTGCTGCCTTTGCCCCAGTGATGGGTGGGAAAACCTATTTCAGTGACCCCAGAAGTCTCATCAAGCCCAGGTCATTTTTCTCTGCAGCTTTGGCCTCTTGCTGTTCATGACTTCTCTGAAGCAGTTAAAGTGCCTAGACTTAGGTTTTGACTGAGTAACTTGTGCTGTTATAACTGTTGGGAGCAGTTGGAGGGTATAAGACAGAGTCTGTCCCACTAAGAAACAGTGGGCATGATGGGACTTGCATAACCTTTTGACACTGTCTGTTAAGAGAACAGATACAGGGAGGTTTCTGATTATGTTTAAACTGCTTTATTATCATGGCATCATTTTTTAATATTTTTTTATTTTGCTTTGCTTTTTTAAAATATGCAAAGAGTCAAATAGAGAATATAAAAATTTGGCTTTCTATGCCAAAATCATCATAAACTGTTATAAAAGTAGCTCATTTTGGTCCATCTCATTGTCTTCTGAGGCCTGGTACAAATTAAAGGCTCCTAAAAATAATATTTTGTTGTTATTATTTCTAGTGAGACTTTTACAGAACTCACCCTGATAAAGCCCACATTGAGCCATTTGTCTAGTTAAATTCATAATGTAGGAACAATCTGCTTTGGAAGCCGATTCATCCCTGGAGGAGGTGGGTATTGTAGTCAGTCAACGAGATTGCCCCTACTTACACCACAGATAAATGTGTTGCTTTGTCCTGACATTTCTGCTTTGCAATAATTTCACATTCCAAATTATAAACCTCTGAAAATTGTAGATTGTAATAAATGTGCTGACACAATTTCAACTGTTAGAGTAAATGGCATTGCTCTAATAATGAAATAAAAAATCCTACTTAATCCCATTCTTATGGTATTTTGCATTAGCTATGGATGAAAAGACAAACAAGTACATGTATATTCAATAATAATGTCAGCTGAGTCAGAGAAGAATAGGAAATAAAATGAATTCATAGCACCTCTGGAGATAGCTTTCTGATACAGGCAGTTTTCTCTTTGATTTGCCCTCATTGACGGTATTCATTGTAAGTTTAACATTATTAATAGCTGGCCTGATCTTCATAACAAATACACTTTGTGATCTCCAGTCTGGGTGTTGTTGAGGTTAACAGTTACATAGAGCAGAACAGATCAAATGCGTATTTACAGGGATCTCTCACTCACGAGGGCCTAATTTCACGTTCAAACCATCCAGACAGTGTCTGAGTTAACTGTAGGTACAGAGTTCCTGCGTCTCAGGGCTGTGAGGCTGAAATGGTTTACCTCTCTAGGTATGACAGTGAAATAGTCACCTTGGATTAAGGTTGCTGGCAATCTTAAAAGCCCTTATTGGGCTTTGAGCATGATCAGATGCTACTTGCTTATAAATGAGAGTTAATAGAAACATTAAACAGTACAAGCTACTGTGACCCATGTCTTCAGAATATTAAGCACATTTTAAAATTGTGGAAGACCATCTAGTCTTCCGCTTTCTGTAAAATATTACCTCTTCTAACCAATATCCTCTGGGAGCAGGTTATTTGAACCCTTCAGCATTCTACTTTCATTTGCACATACAGTGTATTTTTAATTTATTCCCTCACTTCTGTGGCCACCACATATTTATTGTTGATACCATACTAGTTTCTCTTTAATTATTCCATCTGCCAGGAGAGTGTGATGCATTTTAGAAGCTGTGTGGTTTAGTTGTTTAACCTTTGAGTTTTGTAACTGAATGGGATGACATATTCTTCATTTAGCAGAACAGGCTAAGAAGAATTATATACTCCAAGTGATAAGCTTGGAACCGCTAAAGAAATACCAAAATCCAATTTTTTTCCTCTCTCTAGTCATCTGAACATCCATTAGTCTCTTGAAGGGAACTCATAAATCCTGCAAATTTAGTTTATCTGGAACCAACTCTAACAGTTGTCCTTCCTACTAATCATGTTTTATATCCATTTTATATTTTTCAGTATTCAATAAACATGTCTTGTGCTTACCGTACTTGTTAGAAAGTGTCTGCAGTATAGCCTGTATGAGGACAGTTATTAATCAGCCATTTCAGATGGCTGTTTGGTTAGTTTAGTAAGTGTATCCATTTATCTTTTTTATGTTTTCTTCTTTGTTCTTTCCATTTATCCAATATGGAATTTCCTTTGTCCTTTTTCGTTTATTTCTACCAGGATATGTCAAAAAGGAATTTAACATGTAACAAATGAAAAAAAAAAAAAGCCCAGTAGCTGGAAAGGAAGAAAAAACCCCACCACCCTTTGGGCTTCGTTCATGAAAAGATCCTTTATATTATGTCCTCTTAGATCTGCATTAAAAAATAATAATAGAACGCATTATCTGGCAGTGCTGCTTTAAAGCAGCGGATAATTTACACATTAAAGTGAGATGTAGGTTTAAAAGTAGGAGTGTAGGATTGAATTAGAGTTAAGAGACAGAATGATATAGTCCTGTATGAAGATGGTCTCAGTTTCCTGGGGGTATTGTCCTTCTGGTGTGTAATGAGACTTGCAGATAACAATCTGGGACTGTGGATAGATCAAGGTACAGCGATATACTGAGAACAGCGCAGCAAGTAATGACACTGGGGAAGCAAATGAATGTGTCTACTAGATAAACAACACTGAAAGTTCCTGTTCATCACTGAAGTCCAGGCCTCTAAAGATTAATACCTCATAAAAAATTCTGTACTGGGTTTGCATGGCAAGGGTTTGGAAGCAGGGAGGGATGCGGGGGGTGGGGGGTGACCCCGGGAGGGACCCACACTGGAGCAGGGGAAGTGTGAGGAGCCCTCCCCTGAGGAGGAAGGAGCAGCAGAGAACACGTGTCATGAACTGACCACAACCCCCATTCCCCAGCTCCCTGCTCCACTTGGGAGGGAGAGGTGGAGCGTTCAGGTGTAGAGTTGAGCCCAGGTAGAAGGGAGGGATGGGCGGGCGGAAGGTGTTGTAGGATCTGGTTTTATTTCTTATTACCCTACTCTGATGTGATTGGTAACAAATTAAACTAAGCTCCTCAAATTGAGCCTGTTTTGCCTGTGGCAGTAATTGGTGAATGATCTCTCCCTGTCCTTACCTCAGCCCACGAGCCTTTAGTCATATTTCCCATCCCCTGTCCAGCTGAGGAGGGGAGTGACAGAGCAGCTTTGGTGGGCACCTGGCATCCAGCCAGGGTCAACCCACCACAAATTCTTACTTTTAGAAGACTCTTTACCCATCTGCAGTTCTTACTTTTATGGGTTCACGTATTACAGGGAGGCATCTGCCATTTATCAAGACATTAATGACTAGTAGTTATGTGTCCACATACTTTGTAACCACTGAGCTGCCCGACAACAGGAGGTCACAGGAAGACAGATGACTTACGAACCAGTTTAAAGACCTCCTTGCACTTTCTCATTTTAAGAGCACCAGTAGGGCTTCAAACCTTTTGATATTTCCACATCAGGATTATTGTCCCCTCTTTAAAATTCCTTGTACCAGGAGGCTTCTATGATTTACTGGTAGTCTTCAAACAGAAAAAAAACTTCCTAACAGAACATCCATTGATTGCTACGGTTATTTAAAGGCTAACAATAAAAAATCATAGACTTCAGTCTCCATCAAGGCAGAAAGGAAACAGTAATTGCAATTTGTGAGCCTCCTGCCGTGGGTAAAGGAGCTTGGGCTGGGAGGAAGGAAGCTCAGCAATTTTAGTGGCTGTCACAGTGGATCTGGGTGAGATGTGCCAATTCATCCGTACGTTATCCTGTGATAAGAGAATTTGTCAAGGTGAAAAGATGGGTGTGAGGTAGGAGTGTGCCCAAAGGAATATCTGCTCTGAGGAGAACCACCAGATAAAAGCGTGACTATATGAGAAGCTATATGGGAGTGTATTTGGTGGCTACTAGTCATGTCTCTCTAGGTAGACAGACCTCAAAAGAAGAGGCCTTTTCTGCCAAGATGTAACAGCAAATAATATGGTTTCTTACCTCATATGTTTTGCATACCCGAGTCTTGGACTGAAAAAGAAGTAGTAATATGAGTGTTAATATAGTAATATGGATTACTCAACTCTTTTTTTCTGCCAAAGGAAAGGAAGGTGGTACTGGGACAGCCACATCTTTTAACAGTTTTCTTCCCCTTTAACCAAGGGCAGGGAACAGTCATGTGAGATTTCCGTGTACTTAAAAATAAGTAAATAAAATTGGGGTTATGAATTAGCCGATTCATAGCTTGGAAAACATTTGCTCTGCCTTCAGATACCAACAACTGTGAGGTCCCATCAGACCTCACCCAAGATCCTCCTTTCCTTGCTATTTTCCCCACCATTCTCAGTTTGATAAGATGGGAATTGGTGCCAGCCTCCAAGAAGATCAGTGATGCCCTAGAGGAAGAATGAGACATGGACTTTTTCTCAGCTGAATTCAGAGCTGAATTTCCCTTCCACCTTCTGATTTAGAAATGTACATAGATATATATGGTAATCACTGTGAGACAATGTACAAATAAAAGAGAACATGAAAGAAGAGCTGCCAAACTTTATGATGGATAAGCCTCAAAGTCATTTGTTCTCACCCAGCATCACACAGGACTAATACATACATGAAGTATTCATCAGTTTAATTATAACAGATCTGGTTTTGCTCTTCTTGAATTGAAAGGGAGTTTTTCCTCTGACTTTGCTGAAGGGTAGATTCAGCCCATTGTATATGAAGTTAATTCATTAAATGTAATTCTGTATTATTGTCTGCCTTTTCTTCTCAGAATGCTTGAGGATGATCTGAAACTCAGCAGTGATGAAGATGACAATGAACAGGTAAATACATCTGTATAAGTGCATAGACCATATAATCTGACAAAGTTGTTTCATCAGTTGAATGTGATTGTATGTTGGTTTACTATATTTGAATCAAAAGCATTTTGGGATACAGCAGAATCCATTAACTTAAATCTTGCTTGCACATAGAAACTCTGTGGAAGGAGACTTATTCTCAAATAGGTGTGCATTTTGTCCATTTTGCTGAATTAACTTTGTGAAATGGATTAAATAAACCAAAACATAACTTCCTAGCCTCGGAATTAGAAACCACACATGGCATTACCCAGGAACAGCTAATGTGCTCTGCATTTCTGTCCCTCATTGTACCAAACTGTCTCTGGAACAGCCTCCACTTGTTTTGCACTTGATTTCTGAAATTGATTACCTTTTCAGAAATGGGTGTAAAATGACCATGTTAGACCACCAGCACAACTGCAGGTTTGGTTTGCACTGTACAGTTGCACCTGAGAAGATTGGGTCTGTAAGTTTTATTCCAAGTCAGTGAGTAAAGGACTAGGAGTCCATAGTCAGTAATCCAGTGATTCCCATTTATGAGAGGGGAAAATCTTGTGTGTAGCTGTAAATCAGTACTGAAACTCTCTCAAGCTATTTGGGATGGTAATGAAGAATCATTTTCAGAAATCTTGCTCATATCATTCTCTATTCTTCCCGCTTTATAAATATTTATGGATAATGCTTGGAAATAAAGCTGGTGAAATTCATATTCTTAACATTCTTACCAGAAAAAAAAAAAAAGAAAATAGAGATTTTGGGTTAAATTCCTCCTTCATATTACTTTATATATGCAGTAGGCTCAAATGTTTAAACATCTGCAATGGGAGAGGAAGGTAATGCTATAATTCAGCATAAGATCATCTGTTCATCCTGGGAAATGCTAATTGTAAGTTGATCTTTCTTTCTTATTTATCTTTAAACCACCTAAATGTTCTCCTTCAAACTACCTAATCTGTCCTTTAGGGTCATGCCAGGAAAGATTTGTCTTCTGGTGTCAGTTGACCCCTTACTTATACAGTCAGTGTTTTTTAGCACCAAGTTAGACTTGCGCTCTCTGCTGAAGCTGAAAGATCAAAAGCCTGTACTTGTGCAATGTTGTGTTGTGTAAACATGGTGGCCTATGAAACCAGCAGATTTCTGGTCTGTTGGAAACTTGGACAAATAGTCCTGTAAAATGACATTGTGATACTAAGATGTCCAAAATATAGAAATGGAAATACATCATCAGGTGGGAGTTACTTTTGTTTTCCTACAGTGGTAGTTTTCTCATGACTTAAGTAGACTTACTGCAAATCTACACATTTTACATTACTAAGATAAAATCAAGCTGAACGAAGAAGCAAATGCCTGGGCAGCATTTGCTGACAAAAAGTCCTCAGACTTGAATAGGTGTCATCTCTAATGTTCATCCCAAGCAGGAAAGACATGGTTATGTCTACACTGCATAGAGGAGTATAAATAGGTCTCAAAACATCATTGCTGTTAGGTGGTACATGCATGCCTCTTACCCAAAGGCGGTATCGGGCATGTGAACAGTGTCACATTCCTCCCAGTTCAGGGATTCATACTGCACCAGAACTCTATGTGACTTTCCAGTAATTCCATTCACAGCGTAAGCGGCAAACGGGAGCACAGTAAAGACCATTCATGTAGTTTCTCAAAATCTTATAATATAGAGAAAATGTTTTTCCTTTTCATAGAATCATCTAGGTTGGGAAAGACCTTTAAGATCATCAAGTCCAACCGTTAAGGCAGCACTGCCAAATCCACCTCTAAACCATGTCTCTGAGTGCCACATCTGCATGTCTTCTAAACACTTCCAGGGATGGTGACTCCACCGCTTCCTTGGGCAGCGTGTTGACAACTCTTCCAGTCAAGAATTTTTTCCTAATATCCAATCTAAACCTCCCCTGGTGCAGCTTGAGGCTGTTACCTCGTGTCCTGTCACTTGTTACCCGGGACAAGAGACTGGCCCCCACCTCATTACATGCTCCTTTCAGGTAGTTGTAGAGAGTGATGAGGTGTCCCCTGAGCCTCTGTTTCTTCAGGCTGAACAACCCCACAAGACTTGTGCTCCAGGCCCTTCACCAGCTTTGTCACTCTTTTCTGGACGTGCTCCAGCACCTAAATGTCTCTTTTGTAGTGTGGGGCCCAAAACTGAACACAGGATTTGAGGTGCAGCCTCCCCAGTGCCCAGTAAGGGGGGATGATCAGTGACCTTGGCTGGCCACGCTATTGCTGATACAAGCGAGGATGCTGTTGGCCTTCCTGGCTGCCTGGGCACAAGCTGCCAGTCAGCACCCCCAGGTCCTTTTCTGCTCAACAGCTTTCCAGCCACCCTTCCCCAAGCCTGTAGCATCGCCTTGAGTTGTAGTTCCATGGTTCGTCCTTCTGGCCCTTCTTGTAGATTGGCATCACATTTGCTAACCTCCAGACAACTGACACCTCCCCAGTTAGCCAGGACTGGTGATTAAGTGATGGAAAGTGGCTCCATGAGCACTTCTGCTAGCTCCCTCAGTACCTTTTTGGCAGTGTGAGCTTCATCTCACTCTAAGTGATTAGAATTGATTCAAATCTCCTAAGCTCTCTGAAATATCTTCTTAAGAAACAGATTATGGTCTGTATCTTCAGGGATTCCAAACATGAACACTTCCAATCATGTCAAAAAATAAATTAACTGTCTGGACAAGACACTGAGCATATTTTTTAAATGCCCTGCACTTCAAAGATATCCTTCACCTCTCCTGTGCACCCCACATATGTGTGGTTGCATCTCTTTTATTTGTATTACAAACAGGGAGTATAGACAGAGTTATACACATTATAGGAAAGAATCCTGCAGCATTTTAGGTTTCCTGAATGAATGACTGTATGGGTCTGTCCTTTGGATTTTTGTCACACACTACATCCCAGACTAAGGCCTGCTGAGCAGCAGGGCTCTACTGCATCCCTCATGCATTACACTGGCTGTGCCTTCACACTTTAGCAGCTTCTGCCATATCTCTTTAAAGGAGTATTGGAAATGGCAAAAAAGGTTGATCTGGCCCACTGGTCAGACACATAAACATCAGCAAAGTAACTGCAGTGGTTTCTGACTGCAAAGTATATTCTCCAAAAGGTATATGAAATACTCATTCAAAAGGGACAGATCAAGGCAATTAGAATACATGAATTTTACAGCGTTTACTGTTCAGCTGTGGAGCCCAAGGTTAGAAAAATACTTTTTTGGTTAACATAAAGATTTTGCAGTCAGATGACCACTGTAATTCACATGTGCATTCTGACAGGGAGAGAAAAATTAAAACTCTCAGCTAAAAAACCATTCTAACCGTTTATGCAACATTTCTATAAGGAAAGTGGGTTCTGTGGAATCATTGTCCTTAAAATCTTTCTGACTTTTTTTACTATAGGCTTGTAGCCAGTGTGAAGCATGAGTGCTAGCATTTACTCATTTTTATTAGTAAAAACACAGTATGTAAAAATAAAGTTTCTTATCTTTATTTCTACTTGTATTTCAAGGAAATTAAAATTCTTTGAGCACAGTGGTCAGTAGGGAGCCCTAGGATTTGTTCTTCGAGAGTTGCTGGGGACTTTTCAATCTCTACACAGCAGGGGCAGTAGTGACACCGATCCATAAATGCACCTTGATCTCAACTTTTAGTGAATGTCTGTAGTGTCGAGAGAGTTTGATCTATCAGCCTGTCTTCTGATAGTACCAGTAGTCCATTTGTCATGATGGAAGATTGTTAGAAGCTTGTCTGCAAGAAACAAAGCTCTTCTATCTTACCCTTTCCCTCCTATGAATGAGTACACTTATTTCTGCATTTATTTAGGGGTTCTTGGACCTTGTGCTTTTTTAGGTGTTAAACCTTTCCTTCCTTTTCTCCCTGAGGAGAAATCCAACACACAATAGCTACCGTCAATTGAGCTACAATTGAGAAGCTGAACCCGGTTTCTGGATAGGATGAGAACTACCAGGTTGAAATCAGTGGAAGGTATTTATTCTATAGATATTATTAGCAATGCTGTTACTGAACATGCTGCCCACTTTTGACATTCATTTTTCAAACAGGATTTTGAATAGCAGGAAATTATTCCTAAGAGGAATAAAAGTGATCTGGAGAAGCCTCCTTAATATAAGTGTTAGGTCTTTTTTGGTTCAGGCACACATGATATTGGCCTAGAAACATACCACCAAGAAAAAGCTTCTTTGAAAGGAGGCTCTACACTTTGATTTCATCCTAGAGGGCTTGTGAGGCTTCAGCAAGTGAGAGCTCACTAGAAATCCAAACGACTAGTGCCAAGCTGCTGCAAACTGAATGGAAACCCTGTGTATCCCTCTTCTCTTAGACTTCTGGTAGCTGTGGGCTTGATGCAGAAGTTGTCAAGTGAGTTTCTTTGGGCTCTGCCAGGCAGGAAGTCCAGTGAGATGTTCATTGCAGACTTCGGATCTGTAGAGCTTTGGACCATATTAATCATTACAGTAGAGCATGAAGCAAGTTACAAGTCTCTCCACCCGAGCTGCAAACTCCTGTTGTCACATTTTGGGCCTCGCTTAGAGAGACCACAACTACCACCTACATGTAAACACTCCTCACAGTATCTTCAGCACAGACACTTCGGCTGTATGACACATGCTTTGTCCCATAGACAAAATGCTGATTCTTACATCTCATTGTGGGTGATTTGGGGTTAAAGACACACAGAAAACGACAGGTTAGATCTGGAATCAATTTTCATTTACAGCTGAGAAGCAGTTATTGATGCTGTACTCACAGTTCAATAAAAGATCTAAAGATATAGACCTTGTGTTTCTCTTTCAATATAAGCAGCATAATCAGTGTCAAATGTTTTTACAAAGAAAATTGTATTGACAGTTTTATTAAAATTGCTGTCTTTAAAGTTCTAAGTTATCCACAATTTGACCTACTTGAATGGTTTTTAATATGCACACTGACCAACCCAATAGATTTTATGTCACG